CTTGGCCCGCTCCAAACTCTTTGGAGTGTACTTTCTTTTCTAATAATGGCCCTTGAGCCATTCTCTACTGCTCGGGCCTGCTTCTGCGTCTTTGAAATACATTTTTACTTCTAATAAACTCCTTTTCTGCAACTTAAAAAAAAGTCCTCTCTACTTGGGTCTTTTTAAGACTCATTTCCCAGAGTCTTGAGGGCAGTCTATCTGACCAGTGGAGACCATGCGACTTCAGTTATCTAAACTCATCTCAGCATGTCCATGACTCTGTGTGCCTTGCTCAGCCCGCATTCCTATGCAGAATGTCCTTTCATACCCCAGGGAGCCAGTCCTTTTCAAGGCCAACTTCAATGCTGCCTCTCCTCTGAAATGTTCCTGATAGTCCCCAGTGGAATGTGTCACTCCCACATGGGATCTCCCAGAGACCAAGGCTTTTCTTCTTTTTCTGACGTTTATTTCAATGGAACATTGTTCAGAAAAGCAGGACCAGAGATTTTTCTTTTTACCTTCAAGAGCTGGAAGTGTTTTTTAGAAGAGGGCCCACTGCTTTCAACAGCAGGGTCTCAGAGGGAATTGTGAGCGGCCCAAGGGCAGAAACCACAACTCCAACACAAGCTCCGGCAACTGTGAGTCTGCGCTAACTGCTTCTGGAAGGAAAATTCCCATTGTGAAGGGACCACAGTACTTTAGTTGTGATTTTGAAATCCAATGTATAAAACTGATAGCCATTTCCCAAGTATTCTCATATTGTATATAATGTTGTCTTTCAAAAGGACCTAGTAAATTTGGTCATAACATTTGTATTGGAGTAGCCTATTTCTTCAAAGCTATGCCCATTAATTATTGTTATTATTACTAATTATTATTATTAATTATTACTACAATAATTTATATGTAACCTTAAGACTATAGTTCATTTGTCCCATACTTATAGCTCAGGGGCATTGATAGTTAAAAATGTAGTTGCCAATTTATATGTATAGCTAAGGCTGTGTAACTCTTAACTTGTACTGTGACGATACCGAATTTCCCCTAGGCATTTGCATAGTAAATGAGGAGGTAGGTGTACCTGTGTAGGCAGCCTTGCTTCTAACTTTCCATTTGAAAGTATCTCTCATGGAAACACGAGTCTATATTATTTTGATAGAGTGGGTGTTTTCCATGAAAAAATACAAACATTCTGTGAGTTACCATTGTTGGGCAAGTGTTGTGCTAGATGCTATGGAATATAAATAAACAAGGATGATCTTAAAAAAAAAAATTTTGACTAAAGGTCTCAGATTAAAGACTTTTTTCAAACTACCTGAACGCTACTGCTAGAAACAACTCTGGTCCCTCCTAATCGACACTCCTTAGTTCATAGATTAGGAAATTTGCAGATGGATGAAAGGTGAGGTGGGTTTGTAGGTAGCTGTGGTGGGGTCTGAAACCCAGGTCCCTAAGTCCTATCATTCCATTCAACCTTTGGCTGGCTGTACCCAGCTAAGGTAGCAGTTTCGAGGGCACACCTACACCATACCAGATGCAACGGAGAAGACAGGAGACAGCCGGCTCTCCACCCTCCAGGCACTTGACACAGACACACACACACACACAGACACACACACACACACACACACACACACACACACACACACACAGACACACACACACACACACACACACACACACACACACACACACACACACCCAACAACATCAAGGAGCGACCTTAAGAGTCTCTCTCAAACTGAAAACCTTGGTGTCATTCTCATGGCTTCTCCTTTACCTCTATCACACCCTAATATCAGTAATTCTAATTTATGAAGAATCCTTTGTTGTTTTTGGTTTTTTAGCTGAGCCATCCTGCCACCTGTTGGCAGCTCAGTGGCAGCTCAGCTCAGGCTGGGAATCGAACTGGCGGCACTGTTGCTCAGAGCTTGCACTCTTGAGTGAGCTTTTAACCAACTGAGCCCCTCGGCCAGCCCTAAGAATCCTTTGATCTGTTTGTTCCCTCCTCCCTATGATTTAAAGTCTTCAGCACTTTTCTGAATGGTCACAGCATACTCCTAAGTGGCATGTTTGTGACTGATCCCTCCACCCTTCCAGTTAACACAACCATACTCCAGGAATCCTAGAATTCTTGGGAAATCAAGTCCAAACCCCTTAGAATTGACAGACAAGCCACCCCCACCATAATCTTGCCCCCACCCATCACACAAGCTTCAGTCTCCAGCTTCACTGGGCTACCTGCTGTGTCTTCAAATGAATTGTTCTTTCATGAGAAAGAACATCTTGTCCCCTAACAAGTTCCCACATACCCTGAGCCCTAGCTTGAACATACCCTCTTTGTGGGATCCCCCCCCCCCGACTTGCTCACAGCACTCAGGTGGACACTCCTGCCCTTGTAGTGTCTATAACACCCACCCATTAAATGGGACACACCCGGCTACATGACTGAGTTTAACAAGGCCACTCTCACAAGACAAGCTGCTGTCTGCTTCACCATTGGCGGCTCCTTAATGAAAAAATAACCCACTTCCTGTTGTCTTACTGCTCTAAGTGTGAAGTTTTAATACTGGGGCTGAACTAAACAAAGCTGTAACTGAGGACGACAGTGGAGACAAACCCATTTAGGGCAAGAACACAACACACAGACTATAAAAATGACTGATTACCCGTTGGCCACATTATGACTGAACCAACCGGAAGTAGTCATCCAAGCCTACGTTTCCGCTATCAACAGTTACAACCGAATGGCTGAGTCAGGGCAATTCTAATTTAAATTAAGCAAGAAAAATACAAATGTCTGTTCTAAGCTTAGAGGGACTATATAAGAACTATGTGGGTAAGTCTATACAGGGGAAATGGAAAAACATAAAGAATATATAAAACTTCAATTATCTACAGGTAATACTCTTAGCACCCTTAAGCTCCAAAACAATTCTAATCTCCATGTGGGGAATACCTACAAGTAAAGTAGGGCCTTTGAGTGGAAAACAGATAAAGCAGTGTTCTAGATGTTTGGCAGACTTTGTGAAATATTGAAAAACGTGGGCAAAATGACAAGCGTTAGAAAGACGAGAGCCAAAGGCCCAGGGATAGAAGCCAGCCAGCTCCCCACTTGCCAACAGCAGCCCTAACTGCCAAGAGTACCCATGTGGGTGTGTGCCCCTCAGTGGCTCCTGAGGGAGATGCAGTGTTTCAAGGCTAACCAAGGCCCCAGCCCGTGAACTCTGCCTCACCCAGTGCCACATCCCATGCTACCCACACCTGTAGCCACAGCTTGGAATGCTAAGGTGCCATCAATCACTGTCACTTGTGTGAGGAACCTCAAGCTGCTACTTGGTTCACCTTCTACAGCATCCTTTCCTGGGCGACCACTCAGCCTTCCCTCCCCATACACAGGTAGTACTTTCCAACTTTCTGCGCCTTCACTCATCCTTCTGGCTCAAAAACAGCTATAAGGAACCCAGCCAGCTCCTGCCGTGGCCACCGTAAAGCTCTGCTGAAGTCCTGTCATTCAAAGCAGGTTGTTCTTTGTCTGCATTTAAGAACGTGACTAATTAATTCCTCTTCAAATGAAGCCTTTCTGTCCCAACCTGTCAACCAGTCCACAATATCTATCATGGCTTTGAGTCTCCTTATTCCAGTAACTGTTCTCTGAATGTGTCTAATCTCTCCACATTCTCTCAACTGTGGAAAATTGAACATGGTGATCCAACATGTTCTCTCCATCCCATTCAGAACAGGGCAGAGCTAGCATCTCCTTTTTTTTGTTCTGGGCCAGGGTTCTCCAGTGAACACCCTGAGGAAGAGTGGCTGTGTCTGTGGCAGGGCCACCAGCTGGGCTGAGAGGTGTGGATGGTCCTGGAGCAGAAATCTTTCTCTTCAAGCTGCCTAAGATCATTCCTTTTGTCAGCTACAAATTGTTCACTCATGAAACTGTCATTTAAAATCTAAGCCAATACCACATCTCATATAGTTTAAGAATAACTGAATCTCTTACATTCAGTTTAGCAGGTATGTTCCAGTGATCTCAAAACAGAAGTTAATGGAGGTCAGAGTTGTACAAAAAGGATGTTAACTGACCAAGAAGTGTTGGGATGAACTAGAAATTGTAAAAACAAAAACTGCATGCATATACATTATCCAGACTCCTTCATACATCAATAAGGACAAAAAACTGTGCATTAACACCAGAAAACGCTAGTGACCAGTCAAGGCCCAGAGACCTAAAGACAGACTTAAATGAAACAATTTTTGATTCTTGGGGTGATGTGAGCAGAAGGGCTAGTTTTTGTTTAATCTGGTCCACTCTGTCCCAGAGGCCCAATCACTCAAGGCTTCCTCCACACACATGGGAACTACTTACGAGGTTGGTAGTTCTTCTCATGACAAGGGGAGCTGTCCAGAGGCTTGCCATGCAGGACGAGGTCTCTTCATCATTCTAAAGAAAGAGAAAAACGTGTTACAAAGATCCAATAGAGACGAGGATGAATTTCAATGCTTTAAGTGTGATTTGGCCTGAAGAATACCAGACAGGACAGGATACAAAGCCTCTAATGTTTGCCCCTCTTCCCCACTCCCCAACGCTTTAAGGCCAGAAGACAATCACACTTTACAGTTCAGTTATCTGAACATAGCTACAAGCACCCCGGCCCCATATGGAAGAAGGGATCCTCAGGCTCTTCAGCTTCAGGTCGTGTGGCTGCCAGCCCACCGTTCTTGTTTCACGTCTCTGGCACAAAAATAGACTATGAGCTCCTTCAAGGTAAGAAGGATCGTATCAGTGCCTTATTTTGAAGTCCCTCACGGGATTTAATAGGGCTAGAAGCACAGTCTCAATAAATTCTCACCAAATGAACAAAAATATGAGCCAACTCAAGCCCTGAGGAATTGCTGTGCTTTTTCACATGACTTCCCCAGGGGTAGTTAGTGGGATGGATAGGAAAACACACACGGTACCTTCAGATTCTCTCCATCAAGAAGGTCCATGAAGCCATCATCCTCATCAGACAAAGTGGCAGTCACAGGTGATTGGGGCATAAAAAGAGGAATGAAATTCCCTGGTTCGCTACTATCTCTTTCATTTGAGGAAAACTACAAGACAGAATTCATGGTTGTTAATAAATGATCAGCTTTGATTTCCTTGGATGGGTCAATAGTTTTTATGAGGAAAACATATCACATTTGTTATAAGAAGTAAAATTTTAGCAGAAACTAATCAAAGGAATACGAATCCCAAGGCTATAAATGATTTGAGGTCCACCCACAGTCCTGGGTCAGGCCAAGTAGCCTTCACAAGGAACTCTTCCCAGAAGAAATTCGTCTCACAGTGGGATTTGGGGATAGCCTCTTGTGAAAGACAGCTTTGTTTTATCACAGGGTTGTAATTGGTGAACACAGATCATTATGAGGATTGTGACAATATGATAACCTGCTGAAATGAGGAAGGGTGAGAAGATACAAGTCTCCATGGAGACCACAAAATAGCCTAGAGAATACTTAATGTAACTCCAGTTCTGACAGAGGGAAATAAAGGGTGGCCTGGCTCTAAAATCTATCCTAGTTCTTTAGACTTGGAATCTAAAGGACAGCTGCTCAGTTTTTAACCGAGGAATTACTGTGTGCCAGGCACTATGATATAATCTTTACACATTTATTCCTATTTAAGCCTCACAACACACCAAGGTCACACAGCTCACTTGTTTGACTCCAAGCCCTAACCTTTTCTCCCCACTACAATCTCCCTAGGAGAGACTATTCCTGGAGTAAAAATGGGGATATCACTTTTGGCTACCCTATCTTGATTTGGGGGGGAACCCCCATTATAGAACTAGTATGTACTTAATATAGAAAATTTAAACCACTCATAAATCTACCCTCTAGAGATAAAAATTGCTAATACAAACATTACTGATACTTTATTTCTTTTCCAAAGCCTGGTAAAAAAATCAGAAATAGACTCCCCCACCCGCCTCCTGCCACCACACACACACAGTAACAAGGTGGTCCCAACGTAAATCGTACAAACATCCTTAAGATCCAAATCCCTTTGGGGCATGAATGCATTAATCCTCAAGTGGACCTCTGGTTTTCCTGGCGGATCACTCACCTAGGAATCCTGTCTGCAGCTGGCCTACTCTGGTTCAGGAACTAGCTCTCATCACAACACATAAGTTATGGGCTATTTCTAACCCTCCACAAGTGCACCTGAGCACCCGCTGGGCACACTGGCAGTTTTTTAGCCAGCAGAACCCAGGGGTGGGTTACTCTAACACAGGGCAACACCCTCTGAATGCTTACATCATGTTATAATACCAGTTTTTGTGACTTAGGGTCTCAGATCCCCAGGTGCAGATGTGCTATAGAAAATGACGGACAAATCTCTGGATAGAACCTAATTCTTTCTCCATGATTCCTACACCAAGAAGCCATGAAGAGGAAAGAGAGATGGCACTTGGAGACTTAAAGCAAAGATAGAAAACACCCTCTGACATGATCAAAATCCAAACTGGTGAGATTAGCACTGGCTTTCTTTCAGTTTGTACCCTCAGGAGCTACAATTAGGGATGGCCAAGAGACCACAGGAAATGCCGGCTTCAAGCACACGCATCCTAAACATACTTGATTTGGCCCCCCAGCTCTCAACGGTTACTGTGTACTTGGGAATCAGGAGGTTCTTCAATCCTGGTCTTCTATGTACCTGTGTCCTTTGGCAACACATTCCCAATCTACAAATGGGGGAGGGCCAGCTACTTATAGGGTTATGAAGATCAAAGACAAGAAAACATAGAAGTGCTCTGTGCAAATGCTAGACAGCAACACTGGCTGAACCCACAACTTAGACTACAAGTCAGTCTGTAATGTTGTATTATCAAATGTAGGTTCCCAAGAAAACCTGGACACCACAGTGGTCATTTGGGTCAAGTTGGGCCTCTCTAGTCTGCAGCTGTCAGGTCACCAGTAGGAAACTCTAAAAGTAGTGAAGTCTCTGTCTGGCAAAGAAATAACCCTGAGGTAAGTGGACCCAAATTCTGTCAATTACACCTACAGGCAGCCGTTTCACTGAAATCCACAACAGTTTTTAGTAAACCACCTTTGGAGGAAGCCAAGTGCTCTCTGCTCTCTTCCCATTTTGGGAAGTACGTCTTAATATTCAGGATGCATCGTGAAAGAGCAGGTTTTAAGTAAGACATATAATCGCACCATACATAGAAGAACAACCCAGAATGCCTGCAGGTTATTTCCCCAGAATCGACATCAAATATTCCTTGCTTAAGTCCAATATTTCAAACACACCACCTCTCACTCTGCTTCTACCTGTCTGTTCTCCAGACACAGCAAACACCAAAAATGTGACCGTCTAGTTTCAAAAGGCAAAGTCAAGGTAAAGACAGCAAGGTCTACTGTAGTGTCTTCAACTCCAGGTCAAAGAGGGTGCTTTAATTCTCTTCCCACCAGGAACTTCCCTATGAAAGCCTGAGCACATACCATCCGAGCTGGGGCCGAGTTCTGCCTCTGTGTGAAGAGATCTTTACCCTCCTCAAGTCCATGAGGGTGCAGGCAGCCACGAGATGCAGGTCTTATTGGCTTCTTAAACTCAAAGGCTTCCTGCAAGACAGTACAGTCGAGACATCTTCTGCTGTCCATAGAAACCAGCTCTGGGGCCTCAGCTATAGCTCAGGTGAGACCAACAAGGGAGCAGGCACTGATCACCTTTGTAACTGTCTCCAAACTAAGGGTTTACCCGTTTCTGATCTAACTCCAACACTGGATCTGTGTAACGAAGAATTTCAAAGACTCTATCAACAGCTAACTTTTTTTTTTTTTTTTTAGCTGAGCCATCCTGCTACCTGTTGGCAGCTCAGCGGCTGCTCAGCTCGGGCTGGACTCGAACCGCTGTTGCTCAGAGCTCAAACTCTTCAGCGAGCTCTTAACCAACTGAGCCACTCGGTCGGCCCAACAGCTAACTTCTAATGCTGCACCTTTTCTCTCACCACACTTGATTTCCCAACAAACATGTGCGTATCTGCCAAGTACACAAAACACTGTTTATAAGCTAAATCAACAACTTTCTAAAACCTAAAGCAAAGTCATTTCAAAATGACGGGAGCTAGAACTTTTCACTCTAATGTGTGAGGGCTTTATATTTTCTACCTTCTTCCTTCCCATAGGAGATAACTTCTTTCCACTTAAAATTATTGTATTCCATACTAAAAGCAATAGGGAACAAAAAACTACTGGTTTACTCAACATGGACGAATCTCATTAATACTGAGTGAGAGAAGTCAGAAGTGATAGACTGCACAGTGTATGCTTCCATTTACTTCAAGTTTAAAAGCACTCATAATCCCCCTACCCTAAAATATCCACATAAGAACTCATTATTAAGTGCTCGGAGAGGTGCCAGCTAATATCAGAGTACTTATATGCCAACACAGGACGGAGTACTTTCTGTGTATTAGCTCATTGACCATCAACTACAGCCCAATCACTCCCACTTCACAGAAGATGAAACTAGTCCTTACAGGTTAAGTGATTTTCCTAAGATCTGGCTTCATGGCAAGACAGGATGACTCCGGAGTGAAAGCTCTTTAACCTATGCTGCTTCCCTTCCAGAACAAAGCTCCAAGCAGAGAAGCCAGGTTTGGAGGGGTGGGGGGATGGGAGTGGGGATGGAGCAGGCAGGGATACGGATTTGGACTGTTCCGTAGAAAGCACTATACAGAGGCTGACGCAGCCTTTCAAGCACTCAAGGCAGGCTCTTATTTCTGTATTCTCCCTTAGGACACCACCACACAAGTTGCCAAAGGAATCGCTGGGAGAGTTTGTGGAGGTAGTAGGTTATACACTAAGTCTGGAAGATTATAAGGGTTGTGAACTGTGGCATTTTAGCAGGGAATGGAAAAGGGGAGAGAATACATATGGAAATACAGTGAGAAAGAAGACTGGAAAAGTTGAGCTAATTCATTTAACTACTTTGATGCCTACCTGTGCAAAGCACCCTGTCAGGTGTGAGAGAAAAGCCAGGCCAAGGCGTTCTTGGACTTTGGGGTGGACCACAAGCTCACCCTCTAAGCTACCACTGCAGTTACTCTGAAATTCCCTGGGACTGCTGGGCTGTTATTTCAAATACTGTCAAGCAGCCTTTTCCTAAGCTTACAACTCTCCCCAGGGTCAATGAAAAAAGTAAATGGGGCCGGCCGAGTGGCGCGATGGTTAAAAACTGGCTTGGGACGCCAGAGGGCCCTGGTTCGGATCCCACATATGAGGGCCAGTGACACTGCCCTCTACAGCTAAGATGCTGAACAACAGCTCAACCTGGAGATGGCGTAGGCTGCAGCCCCTGTGGCAGTGGGTTGCCATGGGCTACTGATCTGCCTCGCCCGGGAAGAGCGCAATGATGGTGCCAACTTGGGCCAGTGAAGCAACGTCCTCCACAACTAGACTGAAGAACAAAACGACAGCAACTTGTCTGTCTGTTCCCCTTCTCCCAATTCCCCAGCACTGTTCCCATCCCCCAATTCCCCAATAAAAATCTTTTAAAAAAAAGTAAATGAAGGCCTGGGCAGACCCTTCCAGATAATCTATTCATAGATATAATTACTCCTAAGAGCTACCATCTGTGCAATTCCTACCTGCCAAGAACCGTCGGAAATGATTTAACTACGTTATCTCATTTAATTCCCACAGCAGTTCTACAAGGTAGGGCTACTCCTATTTTATAAAGAAACAAAGAAACCTAAAAAAGGAACTCGCCAAGATCACACATCTAGTAAGCAGCAGGGTTCAAATCCACGTTTCTCTGACTCCAAAGACCATCTTGACTTTGATGAAAGTTTAGTCTCCCAGAAAGCAGCCCAGCCACTTCTCTGTCAGCCACTGACACTTGTGGGTTTTACCTCTGCCCTATGTTAGTACACTGATGCCACACTCACGTTTTCCTTGTTCTCATCCTGGTCCATCAGCTGAAAGACATCACGGTCAAGAGAATCAGAATGGCTCCTCTTCAGAGCTGGGCTACACCCCAAGAGCTTCTGCTATCAAAGTAAAAAAAGGAATTAGGGTACACAAATGAAAATCCGATGGCAACCCAGTTCTCAAAAGCAAACGAAAAGGTGGGGGGGAAGGTGCTTTTCTCCTCACATAGTGCAGTAAACATGGCCAGGCCTCCACCTTGCCAGAACACAGGCTATACATAAGTTCCCACTACATGGGAATTTAACCCCACAAGGTCTACAGAGCTCAGAAGGGATTAGGGTTGCCACCCGCCACCTAAATAACATCATTTGCATAAAAGAACCCCTCCTAATTTGATAAAACTCTGATAATTACAGATGATGGGAAAAGTCCACAAGAGGCCATTATTGAAGCTTTAGGAGGAGTTGAGTGCTTATGAGTAAGGAAAAGCAGTCTTCATTGTCTAAAGTAAGCTCTACTATCAAGGTCACACTGGTAGCTAAGGAGCAAATAATAGGTATTAGTTCAAAATAAGCAAAGGAACTTACAGGTAGGGAATTTATTCTCCTCATGGGATTTTCAAGGCTGCAATGAAATCAGAAGGTAAATAATGAGAATAAAGTAAAGAGGTAGTCATATCAGAAGATACAGTTTAGAGGGTAGTCAAACATTCCCATTTTAGGCAAGATGGAAGAATAGATTTCTGATGCTGTCCTGTTCTCACAAGCACCCCCAACACTGGGCTTCAAGGTGCAAAAAGCAAACCCAGGTCTTCTCTTAAAATACACACATTCTCTTAAGGCTATGTTAGAGTGGGGCAAGGGCTTGGTGAGGCTCAAACAGAACATCAAATTACAGCTACAATAAAGGCAGAGAAGTTCTGAAAACTGCTGACACAAACTACTCATTCTCGAAAGAGACCAGACTGTTCATAGGATCCAGTTTTACTTGGGACAGCTAAATCCAGAGCGCCAGTCCAGAGCACAACAAATTTCATTTAAAAAACCAGGAAAGTTCTTTCCAAGCACATTTAAAAGCAGTGAATACATACTTTTCTTTACTGTCCAAGGGCCCAGGAGAATCCAGACAGAAACCTGTAGGAAATTAAAACATCTCTCAGAAAGTAATACATAAAACACCATTTTGTTATTTAAATAAATAAATAAATAAATAAATAAAACTCCTAGTACTGTTTCTTTGAGCCAGTTAACAAAAAACTCATGGCTTGGATGGTTTGCCAGAATTGAAGTTGAGTCTCTTGTTAAAAACTTACCATTTGCACAAGTCTTAATATTTCATGGTATAGTTACCAATCCCCCTTCCCTACTTGTCAATATGATCAAGGAAAACAGGATTTGAAGAGAGTGAATTAAACCAAACCTTCTAAGGCTTGCTTGGTTATTCAGATAAGAGATTACCCAGTAACTTTCTGTGAGTTCCAACCATGGAAAGAACAGGTAGTGCCAGTTTTCTGAAATAGTTTTGATTTCAAATAGTTTATCTTGTCAGATCATATGCGTAATTTAGGGATTTAGGAAATACAATTATGTCATGACAAGCAAGGCAAGTATTTGTTGCCTTCAACAAAATAACACCAAGTGAGGTGCCCATCTCCCCAAAGGCAGCAGGTGGAGAAGACGCGGCTCAGCACCGCCCAGACCCACCAGTGCCTGACGAGCACACACCTCTCCTCCCTGATGTCTAGATAGCCTGCCAGGAAGTTAGGTGTTAACTCCCGACTAACGTTCTCCCTTGCCACAATGCCACAAAAAGTTCCTAGGTGAAAGCACGTTTCCTCAAATGCCAAGGACTGATCCCCACACAGCAGACACATGAAAATGTGGAGGACTTAAAAGAATACCTGAATCCGTTGACTCAGAGGAGCCCATTCTCTGCAAACTGTTGTTTCTCACCTCCAGTGGCTGTTCATACTCACTGAAACCAAAAGAAATAATTCTCTCTGGATTTCTAGGACATCACTAAAAGGTTACATACAGGAGACAGGCCATGAGGTTAGCAAGTAGCCAGGCCTACCATCAACTATCATGACTTCTAGACCCCACGGCAGAACACTTTGCCACCTGGAACACCCGGCTAGCTAGCAGTGAAAGCATAAAAGATGAGAAAGGAGTGGGTGGGTAGGCCTGGCCTGGGTCACATTGTAGGACAGGACGACTATGGATGAATGTTGGAGTATTTCCTAAAACGAGAGCATGTGCTCCAGGTCCTGTGCTAGGGGCAGGGAGGAAAATAAATAGGACAAGTTCCTGCTTTTAAGAGGCTGGAAAACCGACACATGTGCTCACTTGGAAAATGGGATGTCCAAGATTGAAGAGAAAGCAGCTTCACCACAAACACTGTGGGATGTATTTTGTTTTGTTTTGTTTTTTTGCTATAAAGAGACGTCCAGGGAGCTTTTGAGTATGGAAAGTTGAGTAAAAAGGCCTGGCTTTAGGGATGCATGGGGTGGACATTAGGAATGTGCACGGGGCGAAGGATCGCGATGATTTTGCACAAAGCCCAGGACAGAAAATGCCACGTCCCTTTGTTGAGAAGGAACAAAGCTCACAGGAAACTAAGATCCAGGCGAGGCAGCTCAGCAAAGAGGGAAGTGAGAGCCTAGGAGGGCCTGCTTTTCGCCCATGGGGGTAGATTTCAAAAAGCTCCCTGGGACAGCAACAGAAAGAGTACAGGGCAATCCGACAAGGGTGGCTAAGGTGACACCCCCATCCCCTACCAGACCTGGCTCGGGACTGAGGGAGGCCCTGGAGGGTCCGAACGGCCTCTCCCGCCCAACATTCCGCCTGGGGGGAGAGTGCACATGGTGAGCCCCCCGCCAGGCGGGGCCGCCCCCAAGTGGCGGAAAGGTCTGGCCCTTCTCCGGACCTGATCCCCCCAAGAACGGTCTGGGAGGTCAGCAGTCTGCGGCACCGCTCATCTGTCCCTCCTCACCTGCCCAGCCCCTGCAACTGATCCATGGTGACCGTCAGGTTGGTGACAGGCGACAGGCCCCCGGCGGCTGTAGCGCCAAACAGCGACTTCACGACGGGCTGCGGCGTGGGAGGGGGGCTGCAGGCGAAGAGCAGGCGGCGGCGGTGCGGGGGCTCCGGGCCCAGTTCCATGGCTGCGCCAGGCCTCCCAGGGCTCCCGCTCTCTCTTTCTCCGCCTCCGCCGCGCCCGCCCCGCCCCGCCGGCACTGGCCTCAGCCGCGCGCCCCGCCGCGGACGCCCGCGGGTCAAACACAAACACGACCCCGCGGTTCAGAGACGCGGCTGCCGGCACCGACCGGCGGGTGTCCGGACCCGGCAGGCGCCAGCCACATACACGGGTGCTTCCCTCTCACCCCGCGAGGCCAGCGGGCGGGCGAGCGCCCGCAACCTGAAGATTAAATCCAAACAAACGCGGCAGGTCGGGAGGGGAGAGAGCCGAGAGGCAACGGCCCGGGCTCACACTCTCTTAGCTTTTTTCTCACACCTTTGCCCAGCCCGGGATCTCAAAGAACCAAGTCGACTTTCACCTCCTGCCCCGGGCTGTCGCTGCGGAGAGAAGGCCTTTCGCGGTAATAGCTGCTTACTGGAGACCGCCGCTGCCCCGCCCCCCTTTCCTAGTTGGCGCCAAACGGAACCCACCAATCAGTAAGAAACTTCTCCTCCTTGCTCCCGAATGGCAGCTAGGCTGGACCAATAAGAGTGGGAAGGGGAGAAGCAGCTCGCGGGACTCTGCGAAGTCACCCGCTTTCAGACAGGGGCGGGGCCTAAGAGAGACCGGAGCTGATCCGAATGAGATGGGGCTCAGAGGTCAATGAAAACTCCCAGGAGGATCTGCGAGACGCCGGTCGAGACCTAAAGGCCGCTCTTACCCGTTGCATCCTGGGAAGCGTAGTTCCCACCCCGCTCGGCAGGCCAGTCACCTCCTACCCTCGTTGGGCTACGGCTACAGGACACCCCCCCCCAGTCGCCCCCCCACACGCTGAGGGAATGTAGAGGCTGGAGAAGGCCGGCGGGCCACAGGAGACCAGGCCAAGCCCGGCCGTGGCTCGACCTATAACCGTGCGGTACTGTGAGCCCCTCTCTTCCGCGCTGGGCCTCCACGCCCCAATTTTATAACGGGGAAGGGAACTGAACGATCCAAGTACTGGGCGCTGCCCCGCCCCAACGCCAGGTCCCAATTCCAGAGCGCTAACGCTCATGTGAAGCAGGCCATCGAAGACCCTAAGGGCTGTGCTGGCCACGAACTGCTGACCAGACAAGACTTGAACGCTACGATATGGCCTGGGCTGTGGGGCTCAGCATTCTTTGCTCACCTCCATTTTAGCTCTTACTATATTTTCTGAGAATCATTTCCTCCTCTCCCACCCTTTTCTTAACCTAGGAGCTCTTAGATAGCAATACCATAAATTTAATAATAGCTAACTCTTAGATAGTGCGTATGTGCCAGACACTTCCAAAGTGCTTTATTAATTCATTTATTCCTTACAACAACTCTGTGAAAGAGGGATTATCCCCATTTTATAAGTGACCATAATTACTTTTATATCCCCTGCCCCAGTGACAGCTCCTACAATGACTGATTTTATAAGAGAGGTACAGATAGGTACAGCAATCAGGCTGCAAGAGGACTTGTCTTCAGCCAGCATGTTTAGAGAAAAAAACTCTGCTTATTTAGATTGTGTATTTATTTTAGGTGCCTGGTGGAAATTATGACCACTACCTCTGTTTAGGGACTACCATTAAATTCATTAAATTTAATGTTTCTTTCAAAAGCTTTTGCTTTCAAAGGTTTGTATTATACAAATAAGGCAAAATAATTATAGCTTTAGAAAGTATATGTATACTTAGAGATAAGTATAATTTTAAAAATCATCTGTAATTCTATCTTTAAGGAAAAAACTCAACATTTTGAACTTTTTGTATGTGTATGTATTGTAAATATGCAATCAATATTTGTTTCATGCTTCAATAAAGGAATGGAAAGTCCTCTCTCCTTGCCTGAGCAGACATTCCCTGATTGGGATCGGCCCAAGAGGATTAACATACTAAAGCATTTCCATCAGCAGGTCCAAATACTGGAATAAAAACTTGGTGTCAGAAATGTCAGAGAACCATTGGTGGTTTTTTTTTCCTTTTTAAAGGTTGACTCAAGTGTTGAGTGTGATTTTTTTTATTATGTTTGGGACCATCTTTAATTGTGAAGTGGCGCAAAAGGAAAAGCATAACTTAACCAAACCCTTTTCCCCATTCACTTAGGCATACTCTCACTAGGGGAAGTGAGGAGCCTTGCACTGTATATTGGAAGGTCTGAGCTCTAATCTAATTCCTCTTTTGGGGCAAGTCAATGTTTGCCCATTCATTCATTCTCTACTGAGAGCCTACCAGTTTGCTAGATCCAAACAGGCAGGGTCAATACTTCCTTGGAGAATGCTGGATCATCCTCTTCACACCCATACACACTTCACTCAGCTAACACCCACCCTTCCCAGGAAAGTTCTACCCTCAGACACCCTAACTGATACATTCTCCTGTTATTATCCACCTGTCAGGCATCCTGTGTTTACTTTTGTTTCTGTGATTATTTAATCGGGGTGAGTCAGCCCGAATAACTATGAACTCAACAGGGTAAGGACCCCATCTTTCCTTTTCTCTAGTACCACCCAGTTCCTGGTTCAGAGACCCCCTCAGTACATGTAGATTGAATACATGCTGCAAAGAAAAAGTGGGAATTCTTTGAGAGTGTTTAGGAAGGGAATCTGATGGGGAATCCCTGAGAAGTGTCCAGAAGGTTAAGTCCTAAGGATGCGGGAGAGAGTGCTCTGGGCATAGGGACTTGCCCTAAGCAAAGGCTCTGAGGCTGGAAGGAGTCCCCTGTGTGTGGCAGAGAACAAGTAGAAGAGGAGGTTGGGGAGGCCCAGCCTCTGCAGGGCTTTGAAGACCACATTCTGGAACTTGAACTTTATCTTAAGGACAATGGGAAACAATTTCAAAGTTTACATTTACGTGTTTAAAAGATAACCCTAGCTCCAGAGTGGAAAACAGATTAGAGAGTGACAAGGGTGGAGACAGCAGTTTGAAGGGGATCCTACAAGGGCCTACTATGAGATGGTGGCCACTTGAAGATGATGCAGAGGGGAAAAGCAGGCCTCCCTTTCCACCTGTGAGTGGTGACAGAGATGGACTACAGCTGTTTCTCTTTTTTTTTTTTTTTGTTTTTTTAGCTGAGCCATCCTGCCCTGTTGGTAGCTCAGCAGCAGCTCAGGCTGGGAATCGAACCGCTGTTGCTCAGAGCTTGCACTCTTGAGCGAGCTCTTAAGCAACTGAGCTACTGGGCCCTTACAGCTGTTTCTCAAGCAGTGAGGTATCCCAGCAGGGCTCCTGGCTCTTTCCTGCCACTCTCTGGTAACCACAAAAACTTGGCTTTGAAATCTGCATTATGTATTGGAGTGCCCTGTATATTTTATTTGGAGAAGGGATTCCCCTTGTTAAAAACAAAAGCAAAAAAAAAAAAAAAAAAAACTCAAAACTTTCCCATTAATTTATCAGATTTATTTTCTGTAGAAAAAGAAAAATTTCTTTTCTGATTTAATGTTTTACATGTGCCCATTTTCCTTTCAAAACAATTGCTGACAGACTGAAGACTAAAACCTTTTTCTCAGAACAGCAGTTCCTTTACAGTGAGGCACCCTGCTCTCCTGCTTCATCTCCTTTTCCCCCCTCAAGCCCTCAAGCTCCAGCCATGACCACCCCTCCCCTCCAGAAGCCTCAGGCTATTTAATCCTCTCAGTTGTCACAGCTCCCACGGTCTGTGGTGCCTACCCCCACTGTGTGCACTATTCGAAATACTTTCCTCCATTAAACATCTGAAAAATTTCTCTCCTAGCTCCTCCTGTTTTGTGTACTTTAATATTTGGCTCCATATCACTGTTCTTGCATTCATTCATTCAGCAAATGTTTATTCATTGCTCGCTGGGACAAATCCAGGGCTTGAAATAATATCCCACGATTCCTACCAAGGAGGCTCACATCTGCCAAATACTATCTCACAGGACATTCCTTATAATAATGGAACCATCACTATGATAATTGCTGTGATAATTTGTGGGGGGTTGGTGGGACCTGGAGAAGGGAAAGGAGGTGGAGATGGGAAAAGCTGGAGGGGTGGGAGAGGGGGGACTTCCCAAAGAAGATTAAAGCTGCTGAAGCTTGAAGGCTTAGGTTGCTGGAAAAGGGGAATTTGGGGCGGGGTGAGGTGGGGCGCTTTCTTCCGAAAAAGCCCTCAGAAGTCAGCTAGCGAGAACAGCATTTTCTGGGAATTAGGTCTGAGTCCGAGGAATGGGCACATGGGAATGGTTGTGAGGGACCCAAGTGGAAAGAAGGGGACAATTCTTGAAGGACTTAGAGGCTACTGAAGGGTTCAGCCTCATCCTGTAGACTGTGGAGGTTGTGGAGGGTGAGAGATACAGGATCGGAATTGCCACAGTGTGGATCAATGAGGGAGAGTGGGGAAGCCTGGGGAATAGGAAGGGGCTAGCCAAAGAGTCCTGGGTGAAAAATCCTCAGAAACAGGAGAAAGGGAGTGACCTTGGGAGTCAGGAAGGAGGTAGAGCTCCTTGGAATTTGATAACTGAGAGTTGCAGTGGGGGAAGGGGAGGGAGCAATCTAGAATGGTTCCTAGGTAATGCCTTAAGCACCTGGGCTGGTGGTACCATTATTTCAACATTAGGCAACAGAGTTCTTAGAGGAATTCGATGAACTCAGTTTTGTGTTTGTGTACTGTCTGGGGTTGGCACTCAGGAAAAGGATTTGGGGTTTATTAGCCTGAGGATGGTAATGTCCATTGAAGGTGTGCGAAGAGTGTTTTACAAGACTGGGTCTGGGGAGCATCAGCACTAAAGCCTGTAGCAAGGATGTAGCAAGAGAGGCCCATGAAGGTGGTGTTGGGAAGGGACCACGGGGAGGGAATAGCTAATCCGTGGTCCAGAAGTGCACTGAAGGTGGCCAAATGGAGGTCATGTGGGTGGGAAAGGTGGGAGGTAAGGAAGTCGCCATAGGAAGGCTCTGGGAAGGTAAGAGGTGGCACAGTATGGTTCAGATTCATACATGAACCAAAGAGCACATAAATGAATATTCATAGCCACATTATTCATTTTAGCCTCAAGCAGAGAACAACCCAAATGCCTATCAACAATAGAATGGGTAAATAGAGGCTCTTTCATATAACGATGAAAAGGAAAGAACTACCCACACTCCTCACAATCGATGATGAATATAAGCCAAACACAAAAGAGGACATGCTATTTGATTCCATTGACATAAATTTTTTTTTTCTTAAAGATTTTATTGGGGAATTGGAGGAGGGAACAGCATTGGGGAATCAGGGAAGGGGAACAGACAAGTTGCTGTCGTTTTGTTCTTCAGTCTAGTTGTGAAGGACGTCGCTTCACTGGCCCATGTTGGTATCATCATTGTGCTCTTCCTGGGCAAGGCAGATCAGTCGCCAGCTTCTGGACGGCCACTCACAGTGGCTCCTGACTGCTCATGCTGGCTGCCGGCCACTCATGGTAGCTTATGGCAGCCCACTGCAGCCTACGCTGTCGCTGGTGACTTACGGCAGCCCAGCTCCAGGTCGAGCTGTTGTTCACCATCTTAGCTGTAGAGGGCACAGTGTCACTGGCCCATGTGGGATCCAAACCGGCTGTCCTGCTGCTCAGAGCTCGTGCTCCCAAGCCAACTCT